GAAATGGAAAAGAAGAGGGAATAAAAAATGAAGCTGAGTAACCTGGCACTGGCAGAAATAAGCATTTTCTTTGTTTGTGTGATGTCGGCCTGTTGACTAGAATAGAACTTCTCTTAAATAAACAGGTGGAAAGCACATGTCTTATCTATTTCAACTAACCTGATCATAAGTTGAAAATGTGTTTGTTATATTCTTTTAAGACCAGTATTTTGAGAAGTGCCAAGAGATACAGTACAGGAGCTCTGTAAAAATTCTTGACCTGCCCGATGAATATAGGTCACGGTAATCCAAACGCACAACCGTAATCCATACTTTTGGTTGCAGAAGGCAGTGTCTTCGTTTTGCATTTGAATACATTGTATTTTAAATACCTCCATCTTTTGGAAACCCTGATTTGATGTGGTGGTGGGTTATAGTACATCTATAAGTCTTGTGAGGAGCAGCTGAGGGAGCTGGGGGTGTTCAGCCTGGAGAAAAGGAGGCTGAGGGGAGACCTTCTGGCTCTCTCCAACTCCCTGAAAGGAGGATGTAGCCAGGGGGAGGTCGGTCTCTTCTCCCAAGGAACAGGCCATGGGACAAGAGGAAACAGCCTCAAGTTGAGCCAGAGGAGGTTCAGACTGGAAATTAGGAAACATTTTGACACTGAAAGGGTTATTAAGTCTTGGAATGGGCTGCCCAGGGCAGTGGTTGAGGCACCATCCCTGGAGGTATTTAAAAGACAGGTTGACATAGTGCTTAGTGACATGGGTTAGTGATGATTTTTTATCAGAGTTAGGTCAATGGTTGGACTAGATGATCTTAAAGGTCCCTTCCAACCCAGACAATTCTATGATTCTAATATTTTTGATGTCAGTTAGTGAGAGTCAAATAGGTTCATGTATGTCAGTGAGGTGGGTTAGAAAGAACTTTCTCCCAAGCTTTCAAGAAAGGTAGAGAGGTTGCAGAAAGTAAGTCATCATGAATAATAAAACAGGAGCTTTTTTCTGTGGGCTTCATGAAAAGCAGGGGAGATCGTGTCTTGTTGTACGCACTTGTGTTTTTTTGCAGTCCTGGATGCTTTGGGTGGTTTTGATGTAGGGTGGATGTAGGGCTTTTGTTATCTGAGCCTCTGGCAGTCGGGAAATGTCAAGCAGAAAATGCACTTTGCCTGCAGGGGAAGAAGCCACCAAGGAGCCTGGTGGTGCAGCATCTCTGCAGGCTCATTCTCAGACATGGCAAAGAGATGAACCCTGACAGCTGGGTATTCCTTGCGTGGCAGCAACAGTATGAGCCTCAAGGAACGAGGCAAAATGGGGAAAACAGGTAGTTTTATGCATCTTGCCTTTCAGTCTCCTTTCAGCCTCTTTCTTGACTCCCTTTGCTAACAAGAGGTGGGTAGGAATTAGCAAGGATTACAAGCAATTTGAAGGAACTGTGTTTCAAAGTCACAGGTTTCCTCATAATTATTGAAAGTGAAAGGTGGATTCCCCTTTTCACTGCTAGTCATCTAAATTCCTCAAACCATTGGTGGCTGAAAGTGTCGTTTGAGAGTCCCCTTACACTACAAGAACAAACAAGATTATGAATAAATAAGAATCCAAATAAAAATGAATGTTTCACTTCAATCTGCAGAGTCTGCTGACTATTAGTACTATGTCTACTTTTATCACATTTTTTCTGTATTTCACTCCTTTGCCCTAATTTATGACAGCAAATTATTATCTTCTCATAAGTATTCTAAAAGTTGCACTATTTCCTGAGACAAATTAACAAGACATTCATGGCGATGTTTTTGGGATTCACCTACTAGTATTGTGACTGGAGACCTGCAAACGTAGACCTTAGTTTAGCTTAACTTTCAGTTCTGTGATTTGGGGATTAAAGTCTATCAAAGAACCAAAACCTTTATGTTAAAGAAATTCAAATAACTGGAAACTTTGAATGTGCGTATTAAACAGTCCATGTTTTAAAAATGAATGCCCGTAGTTGGGGATCAAGGCTGAGAAAGGGCTGTTAGAATAGGAATAACCTTGTAGGAGATGAACCTTTTTAGGAGACAAATTGTGTCATCGTTCATTGGAGCTGCAAGTACTCTGGAAACCAGGCCAACTTGATCTAGGTATTTAATTGTAGATACCTGCTCTAGCAACTAATTTTACACCTGAGACCAATTTTGTGCACATTTAAAGGCATTAGTGATTTGCTGAATTTGGCCCCATGTTTGAAGAACTTGGTCATTCTTCATCATTGTTTGTGAGGCTGGCCAGAAAACAAGAATTTTGTTTATTTGGAAAAAAAAAAAAGAGGTTTTGGAATTTCTGTTCAGCTTGTAGCAAACTAAGCTGTTCAGGTGCTCTTTGTGGAAAGTGAGGGAGGAAGAGGGAGGCAGCCTAAACAACCGACTTACTCTATAAGCTAAAATAATATATGGCTGAGTTACTAGGGCAGCACTCACCTGGGATGTAGGATGGCGTGTTTAAATCCCTGCTCCAGTTAATTGCTACAATACAGAATCAAATGCTGTTTTCTTTTCTGCTGAAGTTATCTAGTAAGTGAATACAGTTAGCTGCTCATGGGATCAGAGAGAGGGAACCCAAAGTGTCTAGGCGGTCTGCTCCTCTTTCTTCTCTCATTTCAATCTGAAATGATGCTGTGATCCTTTGGGAGCTGGCCACTAAAATATTTCCATACATTTCTGTGATTAATGAGATTTTCTTAAATTTTTTCTTAGTAAATTTTTGACCACTCCTAATAGTTTTGGGTTATTTTTGTTTTTCTCTATTTGTTTAAAAGGGTAGAGACAAAGGTGGCTCCTCTTTAACCAAGTTGTAATAAAAATGTCCAATCGTGTAACTTCGCTGCTGCTTTTCATTATTTATTAGTGCATCTGAAGAATATAAATTGCCCTGCAAGATGCATTGGAAAGATGCTTAAGGGTTTTGTTCCAGTTTTTTCTTTCTTTTCTTCTGTAAAGAAAGCTGAACAAACCTACTTTTTGAAGTGCCGTTATTGTTTAGGTAACCGACACTGAGCAAGCGATGACAGGATGTGAGTTTCTAATTTTGGTGACGTCCCATTGTTTTGAGGGGAAGCTGGTTTTGAAGTGGTGCTTGTAAGCACAGCAGGTGCTGGGATCTTGTAGCAGCAGGCAGAACTATCACATGTCGGGACAAAAATACTCTTTTTTCTTGGTAGATACAGGGATATACAGATCCAAGGATAATATTCCCGTAACCGTTTCCCTGACTAACCTATACATTATGTGGAGCTTCTGAGTTCCTGAGATATATATTGCTATTTAATGTAAAATCTGTCATGAGTGTGTTTTGGTTGTGCAGTATTTGGGTAAATGTGCGGGTATGTGATGGAGCAGTGGGAAGAAGGAACATCCAGCTGAAATGGATTTCTGAATCTATCGGTCAGTCTGATATATTTGGGAGTAAATTCTTATCTGATGGGAAAACTGACTCTGATCTCCTTCAAAAATAGCTTTTACTTCCGTTGTATGGTAATCTGTGGTGATGGTAACTCTGACTGAAATAGGGGTTACTGGGAATAGTAGGGGAGATCTCAGTCTTGCCCTGAGAACAAAACTTTGGCGCATCCGTGTCAGTTGGCATCCGTCCATTGACTTCTAAGCGCCGTGAAGTGGGTGGTTTTGGGTTGTGCACTTTCTTGGCCAGAGTTGCAGGTACTCAGCGGCAGCTGGACTCCCCGAGAGCCCAACTTCAATGGTGTTTGGCAGATTCATATCAACCAGGGTGGTCTCGATCCGCACAGACTCCGGTTGCTTCTTCCTGCCCTTCCTCTCTTGTAGTTGGTTTAGTGGTTTGAACAAAGTGCAGTTAGATAAATTTCTGGTAATAGTATTGTGCTGACAATATTTTAATAACATAATAAGCTGTTCTTCCTTACTCTGCTCTGATCCTCTGGTAGCTGGGGTTCATGTGCAAAGGTTTTTGCCTGTTTGAAATACCTTCTCTTTTCTAATATCAAAAGGCAATACCACAAGACACCCTACATCTTAAGAGTTATGCCACCAAACCTTCACTTTTCTTGTGAAAACATTAATATTTATCTTATTCGACTTGAATGTAGATCTGATAGAAGGGGATGCAATCTTTGAAAGCAAAAGCAAGTGAAAAACTCCTTTCATTTTAATACTGTTTTCTACAAGCTGTTATTGTGTGGAATATGATGTTTCTGAAAAGCAAAATAATTTTTTTCAGCAGTATTCATGTTTGCTTCGGGGATGTCATCTCTGACAGAGATGATTTAACATCATCCATCTAAATAGAGAGGAAACACTGTAAAATGGGAATAAAATAATTTCAGCCTACCCTGGAGTTCGGTGGTCAAATTATACTGGGGGGCACCCAGGCACCCCTGAAAGCCCTCCAGGTCATCACTGCCATAAACAGGCTGGAGCACCTAACCTCTCCAGAATGACTTCCATGTTAATAAAGTCTTTACAACTGAGTAGATTGTAAAGTAATTTCTAATTTCTTGCAGATGTCAAAAAAATGTGTAAGTCCATCTTGAGCTGCTGAGGAACATGGGGTATAGCTCCAGGCTCGCCCGAGATGTACAACTCTACTTTGAAATAGTAGAAAAGAGGCAGAAACAGGGATGAAGAGTTCTGAGTAGTTCAGACACCAAGCTGGTTTAGCTGGACAGAATTTCAGCTGGTTTCTCTACCCTTCATGCTGGAATGTGGCTAAACAAGATTGTGCAGGGAGAAAGGCAAGTGGCGGCTCAAGACTGGAGTGGGAGAAGGGACAACAAGACAGATGGCAACAGGTTTCTTCAAGACACGGAATTTTCTTCCTCTGCCCTGTTGATGCACTTGGGCAGTGATGTCTTTAATGCTTGGGGTTGCAGAGCGCTGAATTAACATCTCAACCCAACTACAATCTAACGTCAACTTCCCTCTTTTTAGTTCTGTGTGCATCACCTGGATTGAAACAGTCACATCTGAAATGTGTTGTCTTCCTTTTTCCTTTTGATTTTAACATGGACAGGTGGAGCCACTGATCCAGAAAGGCCACGAGAATCTGGTGCACCACATCCTGCTCTACCAGTGCAGCAGCAATTTGAATGACAGCGTGCTGGACTACGGGCATGAGTGCTACCACCCCAACATGCCAGACTCTTTTCTTACATGTGAGACGGTCATTTTTGCTTGGGCCATCGGAGGAGAGGTAGGATGAACGTCTGTCCAGCATGGTTCATCAATGGGGCTTTAAGATGGTGTGAAACCATGATGATGATTTCATCATAATGAAGCTTCCTCTTAGTGTATTAGTGGTTACTTAATTTGTCTGTTTTTAAGGGTACACAATCACAATCCCTAAATAACTTACCAGTAAATCCTCAACTTCTTGTTGGCCTCTTAAGTATGAAATGCAATGAACTTTCCAAATGACAAGCCAAAATTACTGAAAATAGTATAGAAAGCTAGAATCATAGAATGGTTTGGGTTGGAAGGGACCTTAAAGACCATCCAGTTCCAACCCCCTGCCATGGGCGGGGACACCTCCCACCAGACCAGGTTGCTCCAAGCCCCATCCAGCCTGGCCTTTACTCATGGCAATGAGACCTATCTACAGAAAACAGTCTCTGATGCCATGTTGACACCATGTTTTCAGCTTAATTCATCTGTTAATTTATCTGCGGTGCAAGGAAGCCAGAGATGCTGCATGGATCCATCAGAAGAAGTTTAATCCACTATGAGCATTATCTGTGATGTCTGCTTTGTGCATTTTAGCCATCAGCTATGCTCTGACCTACTATTTGTACTTCCAACTGTCTTAATTTAAGTGAAATAAAAAAACTCGTATAAATAAGTTATCATTTGGCAGGCATTATGGAGGCTTTTGCAAGGATGACCCCAATGTTAAAGATCTGTAGAGAGGCAGATCTGGGTTAAATTCAGGTTTACTGGAGTACTCAGTCCACTTACTTCAGTAAGTCCTCTTACTTCACGGAGAGTTGAGGTGATAGTATTTATTACTATATGCTACAATTAATTCATTAATGTCCATCAAGCATAAGAAAGTTGGGATCTCAAATTGCACATTTCAGAAAGTTAGAATGTCAAATTACATATTAAAATATTAGCAATATACTAATAAAATGATGCAGATTAGTTCATATAAAAGGGAATTTCATAGATGTTCACTTAGAAGATACCGGGATTTTGGTTTGAACCAGGAGGGAGCTTTTGAAGTAAATCTAAAAAAACCTAATTACCTATAACCTCAATATTCCCTGGAGATTACTGCTTTTAGAAAATGGGAACATTTACAGTGTAGATTCACCTTCTCATAAGGGTTTCATTGTCAGACGAACTGCTTGATGGTGCAATGTTTATACATTTAAAATGGAATTTTCGTTTTCTGCTCAAGCTATAAATACAGGATAAATAATCATAAGATCACAGGATAATGCAGGTTGGTTGGGACCTCAGGAAATAGACTAGCCTCTAACTCCAAGCAGAGTCAGCGATGACTCTAGACCAGCCTCTAACTCCAAGCAGAGTCAGCGATGAGGTCAGACCAGTTTTCTCATGGTTTTATCCTTTAACAAGCATAGGATCTATTGTTTTGTATTGACATAGTTATCTAGTGCATTGAGCACATAATAAATATATTACACCACAATGTCATGTTCAGAAAGTTTTAGATGAAGTTACCTGTGTAAATTTTATCATTAATATGCTTGTATCGTTGGAAAAAAAAAAAAAAAAAAGAGGAGATGCATTTATAAAAAGAAATTAACTCTTAACCCTGTCAAAAATACCTTAACTCTGTATGTGTGTGCTGATTTCCAGGGCTTCACCTACCCTCCTCACGTTGGCTTGTCCATTGGCACAGCAGCTGACCCTCAGTTCGTTCTTATGGAGGTGCACTATGACAATCCATCGTACACAGAAGGTTTGTGCCCTCACACTCTTTAAAACATGCAAGATTGGAAAATGTACTAGACACAAGTGCTTCTCGTTGCGTTGCAGACATTTTTTGGCATTTTTTAATTTTCAAAACTGAAATTTGAAAGGGGACAACAGAGAGGAAGGTAAGAGATGAGCTAACAAAATGTAGAAGTTCTGCAACACAAATTAGTGTCTGGAATTTTTTTGTACCCTTCCTAATAAAAATGGCTAATACAAGAGAAAATAATTAAAAACAGTTAGATGATAAAGGCAACATAAATTCTGAGTAGATACACAAAAAAATGCTTATGGCTAAATATTTAGATGAATTGAATTCACTTAGTTTTGATTCTTAAAAGCCACAAACTTTTTACATCAGGTTTTGGTTCCTTAAACTACTTTCTGAAATCAAAAGAAGTCCTTAAGTGAGTGAAGCTTTACAATCCTGTCTAGTTCTCCTGTCTACTTTACTCAAGGTGCTGGTATTATCTTCAAATTTGGGATCTAGGAAGCCAGTTTGCATATCTTTAGTCAATGCTCTTTTAATAGGGGAGATTACAAAAAGGGTGTATTTGGTTGTCTGAGGGATGCTGTAATGTGACAAGCAACCCAAAACAAAGAGAAAATATAATTAATGCTAAGGCTCAAGGTGAAGGAATAGATAAATTCACAAGTAGAAGACAACACGTGCCTTGAAAACTTTAAAGAAAAAAATAACCACAGCAACTTTAAGCTTTTCTTTAAGTATTTCATTTGAAAATCATACATGGCACCTTTTGAGGTCTTATTATTTCTTTGTGAACTTTAAGCTCTTCTTTAAGCATTTCATTTGAAAATCATACACGGCACCTTTTGAGGTCTTATTATTTCTTTGTATTGTTTGCTCTGCCTTCTCTCTGAGGTCCATGTTGGATAACTTAATGGAAGGGACACAGGGGCTACAGGCAGCACGTATTTTTCATTCACGAGATCTACCTTCTTCTCTCTGAGGTCCACATTGGATAACTTAATGGAAGGGACACAAGGGCTACAGGCAGCACGTATTTTTCATTCACATCTGAGCGCCACAGATATCAACATACCGTGTTTAATAACACTCCTGTGGGCTTCCCCTATTTATTACTTCCTGCATATGGTTTGACTCATTTCCAGGTTACTGAGGTTGATTACTTGATTTCCATGTAAAAAACTTAGGGCAAGCCTTGAAAAATGTGAAACAATTGGATTTTTTTTTTTTTTTAAATACTGATTTACGGCCGTGGCTGACTGTGTTCTTTTGTTTCAGGCTTGATAGATAACTCTGGTCTGAGGTTAATTTATACTCCAGTTATAAGGAAATATGACGCTGGGGTTATTGAAGCCGGTCTTTGGGTCAGCCTCTTCCACAATATCCCACCGGACATGCCTGAATTTGTGTCAGAGGGTCACTGCACACTGGAATGTCTGGAAGAGGTATGTCTCCTGCCTGAATCCATTGGTTTTCATTCCTAGAAATAGTTTCAGACAGCCCCTTTAACTTCTTGGGAAGATTGATAGTTACCGATTAAAGAGGTATGAAGAAAGGCATCTGCTACATGCTGTCCCCTCCAGAATTTTGAGTCTTTTTGATCTGGGTTTTTGAGGTGCTTAGTATTAGGCTGCTTTACTTACTGGTGTGAGTAATACTGGGTAACACAGTGCTTGCAATGATTTAATTGTGTGTTCCATATATAAGCATACGTTACTCTCCATGGCAAAGCTATAAATAGCCCAGAGTAACTAGCCCAGAAAAAATATCAAGAGAGACTAATTAAGCTCTGTGCATGTGCAAAAGGCTTCTAATAGTGAAGTGAAAGCCTGAAAGGTATTCTTAGACCAACCACAGAAACGAAAGACCTGAAATAGTTTTGCAGCATAGCCCAAAGTACAAAATTATGCATTCAATAAACTCGTGGTTTCATTACGATAATCTAAATATCTCTGCAGATAATGGAAGTATTGTCTAAAATCTGTGATTAATGTATCATGGGAGATTCTCATATACTTTTTCATTTCAGAGAAAGGTTGAATCGATGGTTGTTATGATGTGGTTTGGAGTGAAGTGCAAATTAGATATGGAATTTAAATTTGTTCTTGCTCGTGTTAAATCCTGCATACTGTCCCAGCATTTTTCAGCCTAAAATCACTTGAATAATCTGTTCTTGTGAGGTTTCTGACCTCAAGGCTGTATTTGAAAGGCATTGTAATATCAGGTTATTTCTAGTTTGGGCTCTGAACAAGAGTCATAGTTTAGCAAACCAAAAGCTCAGGTTTGTAGGTCTCAGCTAGAATGGGAGCAGTGTCAGGGTTGTGTCAATTTAGAAAAGTTAATTGTGAAATGTTTTTGACCTGGAAAAAAGTTTCAGAAGTAAACCTATAGTATTTCACTACCAGTTGACTTGAAGATGGGAAGTTGAACATATTACAATTACATTCTTTTAACTTAAAGTGTTTCTCTTGGCATGATACTGATGATAATGTCATTCATAAGTGCATACAATATTATTTTTTTTTCACAGTAAACATCCATGTTCAGCAGTACCAGCCAACAGCAGTAAAATAATGTGCAAGTGTTAGTCTTGAAAGTCTTAATCTATGGAGAATTATTGGCAGTCCAGTAGATTTTCATGAAACCTGTGCATTAGGAGTCAAAACATGTTTGTTTGTCTGTTTAAAAAATCACAGGAAAAAACTAAGCTTTTTTGTATATAAAGTCTTAGTTTCATGTGCAGATTTTTTTTTTTTCTCCAGACTGCATTTTGCTGTGAACTGAGGGAATGTAAAATGCATTTATTAATAAGTTTTCACTCTGTTTGTACATTGCATTACATTACACTGTCTGGGTATGCTGATGGTGTTGGTTGGATGTTGGCATCGCCAACTAACAGGCGATAGGACAAGAGGAAATGGCCTCAAGTTGTACCAGAGGAGGTTCAGGTTGGATATTAGGAAATTTTTTACACTGAAGGGGTTATTCAGTGTTGGAATGGGCTGCCCAGTGGAGTCGCCATCCCTGGAGATATTTAAAAGCTGGGCAGAGGTGGTGCTGAGGGACATGGGTTAGTGGTGGTTTTTGTCAGTGTTGGGTTGATGGTTGGACTCGATGACCTGAAAGGTCCCTTCCAACCCAGGCAATTCTATGATTCTGTGGTTTCCCCTTGCCAGGCTCTAGGTGCTGAGAGACCTGCTGGGATTCATGTGTTTGCGGTGCTTCTTCATGCCCATCTTGCCGGCAGAGCTATCAGGATGCGCCACTTCCGCAATGGCCAGGAGCAGAAGCTTCTTGCTTATGATGATGAGTTTGACTTCAACTTCCAGGAGTTTCAGTATCTGAAAGAAGAAAGAACCATCTTGCCGGTACGACACTCTTCATTCTTTCTCTGAAAGTGTTTAAAAGATCGTGTGCCTGACATTTACTCACATTTAGGATTAATTTTGCTGCAGAAGTCTTGAATGTTTTGTTAATTTTTTCACTCATTGCAGGGGGACTAATGCTTTAAAGTTGCAGTGTCTCAGGAGACACTATGGAACAGGCTGGCCCATCAATTCAAGCTGTTCATTGGGTGTGTTAGGTGTCTACTACTTGATTTGAACTTTTCTGTTGTGGTAGGCTAGACTTTAGCAAAGACTTTGACACCATTTCCCACCACATTCCCCTGGAGAAACTGGCTGCTCATGGCTTGGACAGGCATACTCTTTTGTGGGTAAAAAACTGGCTGGATAGCCAGGCCCAAAGAGTTGTGGTGAATCCAGTTGGTGGCCAGTCACAAGTGGTGTTCCCTGGGGCTCGGTACTGGGGTCAGTTCTATTTAGTATCTTCATCAGTGACCTGGAAGAGGAGATGGAGAGTACCCTCAGTAGGCTTGCAGATGGCACCAAGTTGGGTGGGACTGTTGACCTGCTTGAGGGGTAGAAAGGCTCTACACAGGGATCTGGAAAGGCTGGATGGATGGTCTGAGGCCAATGGGATGAGGTTCAACAAGGTCAAATGCTAGGTCCTGCACTTGGGTCACAACGACCCCCTGCAGCGCTACAGGCTGGGGGCAGAGGGACTGGAGCTGCCCGGCAGAAAAGGACCTGGGGGTGTTGGTCAATTGTCAACAGAACATGAGCCAGCAGTGTGCCCAGGTGGCCAAGGTGGCCAACAGCATCCTGGCCTGTGTCAGGAACAGTGTGGCCAGCAGGACTAGGGAAGTGAGCATCCCTGTGTACTTGGCCGTGGTTGTAAAGCACTGGAACAGGCTGCCCAAGGAAGTGGTTGAGTCACCACCCCAGGAGGTATTTCAAAGATGTGCTGAGGGCCATGGTTTAGTGGTGGACTTGGCAGTGCTAGATTAACGGTTGGACTTGGTGATCTTAAAGGTCTTTTCCAACCTAAAAGATTCTATGATTCTTTGAAATACTTAAACAAAGCACATTATAAAATCACACATGTGCCTGGTTGTGCCATCTTTGTGCATCCAGCCAGCTGAAAAATGGAAGCACCACTGCGTGGCTTTATGGAGCCGTTGGAGCCAAGTAGCACATCCTGAGTATTTGTGCACAGCAAGTATCCAGCCTTGCAAACATGTGTCTACAAATCAGCCAAGCCCTCTGTTTGTTTCACATTTTTATTTGTTGTTGGGAGTAAAACTCTATGCTCATGTTCCACATAAGGTTTCAGTGAATAAACAAAGTCCTTCAGAAGAAGAAATAATGCAATTCCATCTGCTGTTCTTGTGAGAAACATGTAATTTATCTTTTAGAAAAATCCCAACTGCAATTAAGTTATAAAGCAGTTGCTATCCATAGGTATTGCATGAAAAAAATCTACATTTTTTTTTGGTTGCATCACTCATTTAAAAATTATTCACTCAACCTTTGTTAGTTCCAGCTGGCATCTATTTTTCAAGCTTTGGCCTGAGGACAGAATGTTAGTGCTGCAAAAGTTGGATGCTCCAGACCTGAGCAGCAGAGCAGCTGGAGCTCCTGTCTGGGAGCATGTGAACAAGCCCATTACTTGATGGAATTGGTCAGATGCAAAATAGAAAACTGGATTTCTTTTTTTACGATTGAAGCCTGTAAGGGAAGGGAGCTGGAACTGGTCAGATGCAAAATAGAAAACAATTTGATTTCTTTTTTTATGATTGAAGCCTGTAAGGGAAGGGAGCTGGAAAGACCTTTGGAATGGCTGAACTTCAAATATGGTCAGGACCCCCACGGTTTAAACTTCCAGACTTCAAGTCCCTTCTCCTATGTCTCTTCTCCCACACTGGGATACTTTGATATTTGTCCTTTAAAGGCAAGAAGCTAAAATGCTATTTTTCTAATTTAATTTCTACAGCAAAACATGGACGTTCAGGTGCAGGATTTGCTCTTTGAAGTCCAACTGCTTGTAGTCCACAGTGACTTCAAAGACAAACTGGTGTTACCTCCTCCAGGAAAGAAGTGCTGAAGGGTTTAGGAAGAGGGCTGGCAGAAGATGACAGGTTTGCAGAGAAAGCCTGTAATATTTTTAGGAAAATCCATGCAGATTATAGAGAAAGGCCTCTTAAAATTCAAGAACAAAAGGGTGTAGACAGCAGAAAGACTAAAAGAGGTATTTGATGGTATCAGCAACTTAAAAAAGACAACTCGAGTAGAAGCAGGAATTCTTTCTCTGAAGTGAGCCTTTTTCATGCCTTTTATTGTTTTCATCTTATGCAAAAAATACCAGTACAGTTTTACATACACCATTCTGGTGTAATTCAGACCACAACCTGATCAATTAATTATTAATGTTAAAAATTTCCATAGACGTTCTCGTTATTCTCTTCTTCTGCCAGCTCTTCCAATTAACCAAAAAAATCTAACCAAAACAAATAAACCTCTGCCATCTTTGCGATATGAAGTTGCTCAAAAATATCACATTTTTGACCATCTGGCTATGTTCTTCAATAATTCAATTCCCGCTTTTTTATCGTGGGGATTTTGAGATTTGTATTTGGTCAGGTACAGGGAATAAAGGTACTACCAAACTGTAGATCAGTTTGTAAAGACAGCAAGAAGTTAATTGTAGGTACTTGAGAAGGTAAGTAATCAGCCTTTCCCATACATATCTGTCAATGTAGTTAAGTCTTTGCCTGCCACTCCTCTACTCCCAGGCTTGGCAGATAAATAGTTGTTATTGTGATGTGGAAAACCTCCTTTTCCTCATTTGGCACGTATTTCTGCTGAAGTTGGCAGGATAAATTAACCTGGGGAAAGCTGTCCAACCCAAAACTGGGTGAGTTTTGGAGCAAGACTCACGTGGATACATCGTCTACATAGATAATTCTCCTGAAAATAGGATTATAACTGGGCACCTCCATTGCTATTTTAGAAAAGCAGACCAGACTAGTAATAAGACTCCGTTTTAAATCCATGGGGGATCCCTGAGGATGTGGGATAATATGACTGCTCGGTGCCAAAGCCTTACCATATGCCTATTACCTAATCCTTTGCTCTTTCAAAAAGCCGTATCCACTGCTCTGATTTTTGTTTCTTAAGTGGTTGCTGTCATCTGTGCTTACCTGAAGCTGGTGCTGATGAACTTCAGAACTGTGAACTTCCTAAATCTTGTGTTTCAGGGGGATAATTTAATCACAGAGTGTCACTACAGTACCGTGGACCGAACGCACATGACATGGGTAAGACAAGTTTGAATGGATCAAAATAAGTACACAGATAATATTGGCCGCTAAAACCTTTTTCATAAAATGCTATTAAAACGTGTGAACTTACTTGCCAATGCCTTTGTGCATGTAATTATGTATTATCTTTCCTTTCATAGATTCTTAGGTTTCAAAGTCATCAGGGCTATTATGATCGCGGTCTGATCTCTTCCATAAAGCATTCAAATAACTAGTTTAGAAAAAAAAAAGCAAGCCAGCTCATGAAAGATCTTTAAAAATCAAACTACGCTAGTGTAAGGAGTGCTTTCTTCATAACATGTGTTAACATGCAAATCCTGCACATTCTAATGAATTATTTTTTAATGAACGTGTTACACATTTTTCCCCAAAGTTGTAATTGCCAGTTTTTAAATACTGATTTTTACTGATGCCATGACCAAGATGGGACCAATTGCTTTTGTAACATACAATCCAGGAGGAAGGCAGGATTTGGGGCTGGGAGGAGAAGGATGAGTGAGCCTCTTCCCATTCCCTTTCTCACGTGGTGGGTTTTCCAGCCTCAGGGACCTTCCAGGAGATCTGCTGCCCCTGGGATGGCTTAGGAGGAGCCCACGCCATACCCTCACACCCTTTCAGCAGAGGACAAGGCAGGGCCATGTCCAGGGGGTGAGCATCCCCTTCGGGATCAGGGTGGTCCAGCTCAGTCTTTGCCCATGGCAGCGCGTGATCTCCCAGACACAGCTTTGTAGGTCAGCAGAGGCCATAGCGATGTGGCCACTGGGTTTTGGAGGTGGAGCAAATTTGGTTGTTGGGACATGAGCTGGAGTGTGCCAGCTGGCTGTGAAACCAGAGAGTGATGCCAGACCCGGTGCATTTATGGGAGGGACATGGCTGTCAGCACCCAGCCTTTGGCAGGGGCTGATCCCACTTCCCTGGGAGAGGCTGGATCCAGACCTCCAGAGGTGAGACCTGAGGGGCTTCTCTTGAGCAAGGAAGACTTGGTCCTGGCATCCTGGATACCTCTCCCTGTGATGATGCCTCTCCCTCTCCTCCATGGCTGGCATGTAGGTGCATGCAGTAGGTGCATAAAGAAAAGCACAAGAGTGAGAATGAAGGCTTTTGAGTTTTTGTCTTCTTGTCCTCTGTGGTGACCACAGTAGCTCTTGGCCCTTGGTTCATATATTTTTTTTTCTCCATTCCTATTCCTATGGGATTTGTGGAACAGTTCTCACATGGGTTTTAGGAATGTGCAACTCACAATCTTGTCTGTATTTCCCAAGAATAATTTTAAATTAGTTCTTTGCCCCATCACTCTCAATGGAGGACTGTTTAAGAGTCTGTTTATTCTGCTTACTGTAATTAATTATTTTATAGTTAGTGCTCATTTGTTCTTGAGTCAACATTTTCTATTAACTTAAATAAGTCCTTTATTTCTTATTCTTTTCATACTCTGCATATATACTTACAAAGAGAATCCTTATAGATACATATTCCATCCCAGCCTCAATTTTACTAGGCAACGCTCATTTAATTTCTTATTAAACAGACTAATTATCCTACCAGATTTTCTACATCTGCTCCACTTTGAAGGTCTTTTTTCTGAAACACAGGAGGTATAAGTAACTTGGAGACAGCTGAAAATAAGCCTGAATCCAGACAGTACTCTTCAACATAATAGGAGTCTTGTTTTATTGATAATTGTTGTTTCTGACATGTTTTTAAGCTCAGAAGCTATTGCTTGAGCTTGCAGTGTATTTTTTAATTAATTATGTAATAACTTCTTGCTGTTTGATAGCCTAATGTGCAAAGTAAACCCATTTAATTGGGCCTCCCGACACACATTTCATTAGCATATAAATGCTAATCACTGTTTTTATCTGCGGGATTCCAATGCTATCTTGATTAAAGGAAAAAAAATAATCCCATTTTCAGGGTGGTCTGAGCACCAGGAATGAAATGTGTCTCTCGTACCTGCTCTACTACCCGAGAATCAACCTCACCCGATGCGCAAGTATTCCAGACATAATGGAACAGCTCCAGTTCATCGGTGTGAAGGAAATCTATAGACCAGTCAGGCAAGTAAAATGTTTATGAATCTGTGTAGCACCTCTATTTCTGTCTGTGGGATTACACAAGGTCATTTTTATACAACCTTTATTTCTTTCTGGTAGCTCAACATGTTGCAGGGTCACTCATGCCACTTCTTCTTGGTCAATACGCTGTGCTGCCACTTGTTTCTCCTGCCAAATTATTTTACATCTTTATTTCTTTTTAATAAAAGAGCGGTTTCTTCTGTGAAAGAAATAGTATTTCTCACAGCAGTGGTTTTTTTCACTGCAAACATCTCTAAAAAGACTACATATCAATGTCATGTCAATGTTTCAAATCTATCAATTTATCAAAACATATCAATGTTTCACATATATAGAGATAATTTTGAAAAAGGAGTATTGAATTACCCTGAGTAGGTCTATTAACAGAAATTCTGCTGAAGTCAATCGGTTGGGAGCTTGAGTATTGAATTACCCTGAGTAGATTTATTAACAGAAATTCTGCTGAAGTCAATCGGTACAACCAGGTCCTGAAACTGTTCCTCGCATATAGAGCTTAATGTTATCTCGGTGACACTGATGAAAATACACAAAAGGGGAAGAAGTTGTAAGTTAGAAAGGAAATGGAGGGATTGAGACAATATTAAATTGTTCATAGTAAAAGATAAACCATAGATAAGCACCATGATGGAAAGAAATAGAGAATGGAGGCTTTGGAAGAATAACAAGCCAGAGGATGCAAGGTGAGTAGAGAGGAAAACATGGACCAATGGTCAGAATCTGGCCAAGAGGAAGAACAGATATGGAACCCGTGGTCAGAATCTGGCCAAGAGGAAGAACAGATCTTTTTAGGTGAACTGTTGGATGCAGGGGCTTGCAATTCTGTGCAAAGACACTGCGTCCTGAGTCTTGGGCACCTACCATCCAGGGATGCAGGACACTGCGTATTTTTGAGATGTAAATCCATGTTAGAAAGAAACCCCTCCTAGATAATTCATCAATATTTCTTCCTAATAAAAATGACCCACAAGAATCTGAATATTGGTCTGCTGCTCAGCTCAAAAGAGGTAATATCATTTTGTTGTGAGATCTGTCTGCTTCAGTGCTCCAGAAATAGTAAATAGCCCCTCTGTGCATGGCAAGGAGTGGAGGCTGTTAACCATTTAGGCGACTCAGGATCTGTAATAACCACCACGAAGGGCTATGCAATTCAGCTGGCATCTGACCCCTGGGGAAAAGCACAGAGCTGGTGGATTTTAAACAAGGTGTTACGGTTTCTTTGTTAAGTCAGCAGAAGTCTTGCTGTCCTTCATCATGAGAGTCCTCGTCAAAGAACAAAATGCTTCCCAGTGTGTTGTTGGATCTGGTTTTTCTGCCTTTGAATTTCAATGGGATGAGCTATGCAATGATATCACTCACTAAGAACAAGAGTCATTTCCAGAATCTAACATAACATAAAATTTAAATTTTGGTAGGAGGTGGGAGGAAGCCCACTATAAATGGGATAAATGCATGTGAATATCTAAAAATCAATAAATAGTATTTTTCAGTTTCGAAGTGTTCCTTACAGTGCTTAAAATTAAAGCATCTCAATAGCAGTGGAAGCAATTGTAAACAGAGTGAGAATAATCTGAAGAGGAAAGTTCCCAAATGAATTAAATGCAGAAAAGTAATCAAACAATAGAGTAGAATGCACTAGTAGTGGTGAAAGGGGAATTATATTTGTATAGTTAGTTGCATTAAACTAAGGTAGTAGTAAGAGTTAAAAATAAAATCGGTAGACTAATAGTGTGTCATCACGTTTAAATTTTGGTAGTTGTATTTCCTTGTACAGTTTATCTTAACAAAACCGTATAAAACTATTATTGCAAAGTAATTTGACATAGAGGCTTACTGGTATTAGTTCTGAAATTCATATCCAAGTCAGAAGAGTCTGAAGAAAGCCACAATGCAATCAATGTCTACTTCATTTTCCACACTATTTCTATTTAAAATCTCTTAATACAGGGAGAACACAGTTCTAAATTAGCCTTAGCTAAAAGAGTCTTTCTGAGCTTAGAAAGAAAATATTCTAACAAATGTACGCTCTCTTGAGTGTTCATTCATGATAACTGTACTTAAAGAAAAAAATGCACATTTGGCCTGGGGAAATAAAGATGTTTTGAATAGAGTAAGTATGCAGACTGTCTGCCGCAAATGGAATAGTAATTAGAAGAAGAGATTATTAATGCCTCTAGTATTTATGACCTAATCCACAATTCTTGTTTCATTAAGCTCTGTCAGCCTAAGGATATGTGACCTGATACTCATCTCTCTCGTGTCGGTCTTGTACAGGAATTGCTCCTCTGACTCCTCTAAAGTCTGGCTTGACTTACACATGAAGGCAAACGGGAAGCAGGAAGGAAGGCACTGTGGCTCACTTTAAAACTCTGTTTTTTTCTTTCCCCTCAGTCTAGTGGCACAGACAGTGGTAAAAATCACGAGGAGCTGAGATGAAAGCGATTGGGCCGCAATAGTATAAATTAGGAGCTTGATCTAAATTAAGTCCTCCGTGCTTCGGTGTTGGGTAGAGCAGAAGTTTGGCATAGGCAGCGCTTTACCCAAAGCAAGTGGGAGACAGCCGACTGCAAGATAACACAGATCAGTCTAACGTGCTTTGAAAAGATAGCTCATGCTCCAACCAAAGTATTAATTGTGTTGTATTAATTAGATAAAGTTTTAGCTATTTTAATTCTTCCACTGGCTGTATTGGAGTTGCTGTTTGTAAAAACTTGGCCTCTCCACCACGTTTTCATTCATCCCCGTAGAGTCAAACAGGGAGAAAGAAAGAACCACAGAGAAGATTTCCTTTAGCGGTTCCTTTTTTCCCTCCTTTGTTATTATTCTTGAGTTTTCTTTACTAAATGAAAGAGGAGGAATCTCATTCCTTCCCTTTCCACGCCTGTGGCTGGTGAGGACCAGGATTGGCCTCACTTTTTCACGGGGAGGATTCCTACACACGGGCAAAGAGGAAGATCTCTCATAGGAGCATGGCAGGTCTCTATCCCACCACGGGTGAAAAGTCCCCTTGAAGCCAGCATGTAGGGACATGACAAAAGGCAGAGTCCATGGTTCTTCTCATTTGATCTTCTGGCACTGCTGCCAACCAACGCACGCTGGAGCAGCTCCAGTGCTGGGCTGAGTTTTGACCTGTTATCTGAGTTATGACCACAGCTTGGCAGAGCCATCTGGAAGCAGCTTTCTGAGGGCAAACTTTTCTTTACACCACATTCTGCCAAGCTTTAGTAGAGGGTGTGGTGCTTCTTTTTTGTTTTCTTTTTTTTTTTTTTTTTTTTTTTTTTTTTTTTTTTTTTTTTTTTTTTTGGAGAAGTTACAACAGAGGATCTGTTTTGTATTGCCTGTGTATTCAGTTTGTAGGTCAGAGAAGAGCAGTATAATTCTTTTTCTTAAGTCAAAGTCCTTCATTTCTAAAAGCATCTGGCAGCAAGTCCTAAACTGCTGGCAAACTTTTGTAATTCTGTTAAAATCAATGAAACTGCATCAGTTTTCAGTAGCAGAGAACTTAGCTGAGAATGTGAGTCAGGCATAATATACATATTAATAGTACATTTATTTTTCTGAGTAAATTCTCCAAAAGCTTTTCCTCATCAGTTCCAACTTGATGGCATTTATCTATGTTTTAACACCTATTTATTTAATTCTTTTTCTTTAGGACTTGGCCTTTCATTATAAAGAGTCCCAAGCAGTATAAAAACCTGTCTTTTATGGATGCAATGAACAAATTCAAATGGTCCAGATCAGAGGGTCTCTCCTACAATGAGCTTGTGCTTAAACTACCAGTGAACGTGAGATGTTCAAAAACAGATAATGCAGAATGGTCGGTAAGTCTAAGTGTTGAAAAGGGGGCAACTGTGCCATGAAAGAAATGTGATTTTTCTGTACTTCACTGTATATGAACAAGTAGCTGGTTTTATGTCTTCAGGCTGTTGCACAGCCATATTACATTTACATATAATAAGAAACTATGAGAGTGTTTTATCAGCCCTTTCACCCAACTTGAGTTTTAGAAGTATTTAAAGAGAACAGAAAATTTGGAGCTTTGATTAGCACTTGGGATCAGTCACAGGAGGATGAAGTCTTTCAGTGTGTCTGGGACTGATCAGAAAGTAACTGTATGTGTCCAGATGAGGTGACTGAGTTAATAAAAAGCTGTTTTTCCCTGGATGCCTCCGTTACCAGGGACTTATATCTCAGGATATATGGATATCCTGAGGTATGGATGGATGGTTCAAAATCCCTAAATCAGGTTTCTTCTCTGCATCACTCTGAAGGGCAAAACTGATTGACTGCATAAGGAAGCCTCAAGAATCTAACTTCTTAAATATTTAGACTACCTAAAGTTGTGTGAGTTCTCTTCCAATATCTCTTGCTTTTCTGTTGGTCTTGTGTCTTAGAGATATCTTTAGTATTGGGCCAAAAAAAAATTACGTTTGGCTTTGTGCCTTTGTGTCTTTGTGCACTTTGGAAGGTTTAAATTCTATAGTTTCCCTTTCCCAATTCTATTGATGATAAAACCTATAAGATAAAAAATAATTCCCCAGTAAGTTATTATTTCTTGTGAATGTCTACTGGTATTTTAACAAGACAGCTGGGAAAAGCTGTCATTTTTAGTGTTGAAGTGTGTTTATGAAGAACTACTGGTGCACATAGTATTATGCCTGGAGGAGATGCTGAAAAATAGATATTGCTTCTTGAGCTCCTTTAGAGAGTACAAATTCAAGACTTAATTTTACTTTTTTGAGCTTTTCTGCTCGGAAGAGGAGATTGTCTCATCTTACTGACTTATCTCCTACTGAGATTTTAGGCCAGCCTGACAGAGCTGATAGGAGATACTACTGATTAGATACTTCCTTGGAAGGGACTTTTGCCTCATTCTCCTCACCCTATTTTTTCTAATATTTGTCCCACCGCAGACCTTCTGGTTAAGTAGTTATTGACAGTACATGCCACTATTCACCAATTTTGGTTAAACTTCTTGACCTTTGCAACTGCTGGCCGGTAGCGGCTGTGTAACCTGTCTTTCACTGGGTATTTGTCAGAGGATAAGTTAAAATGATGAAAAGCACACAGAAATTTTATCAAGAGAGGATAGGCTTCTTTTTTTAAAAAAAAAATATTCTTTCTGGAAAATACTGTTCCCCTTTATCTTACAGGAATAAGGAACAATACTTGCAACTTAAAGAACATAGTCAAAGAATGAGCTCACTGGGAGTTCTTAGTTCTTCCTTTTAATCATAGTTTCCTATTTCAAATGACTAGGGCATATTCATCAAAGCTAAGATTAGGACTCTTTCCTTTCCCTTCCCTTATTAGTGATATTACATTAAATTGGCCATCCTCATCAAAATCAAGAACAGATTTAACCTGAATAGCCAAACAATCAGGAAGTTGTTACAAGAAGGAAAAAACTTGAGGCAGAGGAACTCAGTTGAAAATACCTTTATCCTTCTGTAGGGACGGTCCCTTAATCAGTTTTAGCCTTGTGTTGAGTTTGCTAAGATGAAGTCAATATTTAGATTATTTTTTTTCTGAAGTGCAGGATAATTGGAACACAGAAAAAAAAAACAAAACGAAAGCAAGCACATGCTGTGCAGGTGGGCATACAGACTTTCAAAAATATTTGTGTCCAGGGGCTCACTTTTTGCATAACTTTTCTCTAATGTGTAGGGAGTACATTTAGGAAAAGCATAGCCAAGCAGTGTACCCAAATCTTTCCAATTTCACGTCAAAGCCAGGACAGGCAGGTAGTTGTGTCTAACTCCGTAAAAATTGCACTGAGTTCTAATGGAAGAGTAAAAAATGCTCAATATATAGAAATGTGACACTGCTTGAGCAGGGACATTGGAGCAGATGATCTCCAGTGGTCCCTTCCAACTTCAACCATTCTGTGACTTGGTGAAAGAAATGTGTGCAGGAATAACTGCAAGTGTAAGCCTTGGATGTACAAATGAAGGCCTTCAAATATCACCCAATATCCCTATAGCACTGTAACACTGTCAACTTCCATTTTTATCCGCCAGAATCACAGAATTGCCTAGGTTGGAAGGGACCTTTAAGACTATCTAATCCAACCATCAATCTAACTCTGACAAAAAAACCCCAAAAAACCAAAAAACCAAACCAAAACAAACCCACAAAAACAACAACAACAACAACAAACAACCAAAAAAAAAAGAAATACAAACGAAAACCCACCACTAAACCGTATTCCTGAGCACCACGTCAACTTGTCTTTTGAATATCTCCAGGGTTGGTGCCTCCACCACTTCCCTGGGCAGCCCATTCCAATGCTTGATAAACCTTTCAGTGAAGAAATTTTTCCTAATATCCAACCTGACTTCGGTCACAACAACCCCAAGCAGCGCTACAGGCTGGGGGCAGAGTGGCTGGAGAGCTGCCTGGCAGAAAAGGACCTGGGGGTGTTGGTGGCCTGTGGGCTGAACATGAGCCAGCAGTGTGCCCAGGTGGCCAAGAAGGCCAACAGCATCCTGGCCTGTATCAAGAACAGTGTGGCGAGTAGAGCCCGAGAGGTGATCGTCCCCCTGTACTCGGCACTGGTGAGGCCCCACCTCGAGTACTGTGTCCAATTTTGGGCCCCCTACCACAAGAGGGACATTGAGGTGCTGGAATGGGTCCAGAGAAGGGCAACGAAGCTGGTGAGGGGTCTGGAGCACAAGTCTTACGAGGAGAGGCTGAGGGAACTGGGGTTGTTCAGTCTGGGGAAGAGGAGACTGAGGGGAGACCTTATCGCTCTGTACAAGTACCTGAAAGGAGGCTGTAGAGAGACGGGGGTCGGTCTCTTCTCCCAAGTTACAGATGATAGGACAAGGGGTAACGGCTTCAAGTTGCGCCAGGGGAAGTTCAGGTTGGATATTAGGAAACATTTCTTTACTGAAAGGGTTATC